AGACAGTATGTATATAGTGCATTAGGCACAAAAGCATAAAACTAAACAGTGGCGGATCATGGAATTGGAAATAGAGGGGTCCAGAAAGTCAGTTTTAAATTTTACATATAAATTGTTAATATTACCCCAGCCCCACCATGGCATGGCATGGTTATGGGGCTGAGGTACACATTTTCTATCTCTAAAGATGCACTTTTAGATGCACGGAAATGGCAATGTCAGAATCAAAATTTGAATGTAATTTTCATTATCCCCATTATGTTTTTGTAAAATTTAGGGCCCCTGATTTTTTAACACAGGTATAAAGCAATGTAATACAAAATAAACATTAATATGATGTTTATAGTCTAAAGTATATTGCGATGAATGAATTTTGTGCTTACATAAAAGTAAAGCATATCCCTTGAAACAAGAAAACATATTTTCGTATTTATATAATATATATAAATATATAAAAATATACATATACATATACATATAAATATACATATACACCTTATATACATATATATACACACATAAATAATATATATATATACATAATTATATACATAATATGTGTATATGTATGTATGTATGTATGTGGTATTGGTGTGGGTGTGTGTACGTGTGTATATGTATGTGTGTACGTGTATACGTGTATATGTGTACGTGTATGTGTGTATATATATATGTATGGGTGTATATGTATATATATGTGTATATATGTATATGTATATATATATAAAATATATATAGCTTTGATTAGACATTTTATTACTACTTAGTTTCGTACCACACACTTGGTGTGACACTCTTCAGATAATCGTCTAAAACTGAGAGGAACGCAGGCGCGAAATATTTGTTTAATAAAAATTTTATGTTCCCAGAGTCAACGGTTAACATTATTATTATTATTATTATTATTATTATTATTATTATTATTATTATTATTATTATTATTATTATTATTATTATTATTATTATTATTATTATTATTGCTAATACTACTGATGATATTTATGGTTGATGTTAAAACCTAGCATTTTGAGCAAAAATATGTACTTTATTGTTTTAAAGGTTTATAGTTATTATTATTATTATCATTATTGCTTTTTTCAGTATTAACATGTTTTATGGTTTTATATTTATATAGCGCCTTCCACGATCGAAATATTATTAAACAATATTAATTTTTATTATTATTACAGCTAGTACTACTGATTGTATTCACTTGACAACACAGGTGACGACTCTAGGTAATATATAAGACTATTACGATATGCAGTTTTTCATGTTGAAACATTTGAGTAAAGAATTGTGTACTATGTTGTTGTTAATTCTTATAGTTATTTTTATTTATTTATTATTATTATTATTATTGTCATTATTATTATTATTATTATTATTATTTCTATTACAGTATTATTATTATTTATTATTAATATTATTACAGCTATTACTGCTAATGATAATCACTTGTCAACACAAATGACGACTCAATGTTAATTACAAACCTTGTGTATTTTTTGGTTTGTTAATATATATTGTTAGTACTAATGATGATATTCACTTGTCAGCACATGTGTCTACTCAATGAAAATTGTAAAGCTATTATGATATAATTGTTATCAGCCCCTCCCCCTTCTCCCCCCTCCCGGTCGGGGGGGGGGGAAAGCACAATTCGTTGGGGAGAAAAAAAAATTATATGTATTTTATACATATTATTGGACTCTTAAATCGATTAAATAAGCCTTTGAAACCCCTAAATTGTCAAAATGTTTGGGGGCTTCGCCCCCAGGACCACTTTCGTTACCTTTTAATCGAAGCTCGACCACGCCCACTTTGGTTTCGTCGGAAAAATCTTCCCCCCGTCAGGCAAATCCTGGCGCCACCCCTGGGTCCCGTGTACATTATGGCCCCATGTGCACATTACTTAACATAGTACACTCTTCTGTACAACGTATCCCGTTGTACTGCCCAATCACCACCAGAGGGACCGACAGGAAATAAGTCTTCTGCAGACTTTCGTGGATTACCCTTGCTGTTTACACTGAATAAATCCAATCCAACCCAACACATTGGATATTTTGACATTTGTAAATAAAGATTTTTCTTTTTAAATAATATAACAAAAGAAATTGTTTATATTTTGTAGCTGCTGGTCCTACTACATCTAGTACAGTTTGTAATTACAAGTCAGCAACGTCTGAAGGTAAGGAAGACGAAATATGGAGCTCTTTATTTGAACGACGACGTAATATTAGAACGGATTCACTCATCCTTGACCATATTCTGCGTTTTCTGCACAACGTAAATGCTGTCCAAACTGCGTGCTATAATCCAGACGACAATGAGAATTCAACGTTCTTATATGCGCAAATAAATTTATGTGACGTCATTTCGTTTTAGGCCCTACCGACTAATGACTAATAAAGTATATCCCATATTAGCATTTAATATTTCTTTGAATTTTATACAGTATTGGAATCGGCATATGTAGGTGATATAAAATGTGTGTTAGAAACACCGGAAGTACCCGAGGTTCATGTGACATCTGACCCGAATAGCATCACATTATCGACATCAGTTGTTAATCCACTGAAAGAAGGTATGCATAATTTTAACTGAAACCGAAATCATAACATTACTATTAATAGTTCACGCTTACAGCAATTTTTATTACTTATCTTTACTTTTATTAAATTGTGATTTTGGGGTTTGTGTCTGTTAATATTACCATCAAAAAATAAAACATCTAAATCCCAATATCGAGCATGAAACAATGAACAATTAGATAATAATAATAATGATAATGATTAATGATAATGACAATGATAATGATAATGATGATGATGATGATGATGATAATAATTATATTATATAAACAACAATCAGTTAAATATTAATAATAATAATAATAATAATAATAATAATAATGATAATGATAATGATAAGGATAATGACAGTGATAATGATAATGATAATGATAATGATAATGATGATAATTATATTTATGATTATGTCCTTGAATCAATGATCGCACCCAGACGCTTATCTGATGAACTGAAAATGGCATTTGATCTACATGGATACTCTACAACAGTGGTTCCAACATTAGGGGTTCGCGAAAAAAACAATTGGGGTCTGCCAAGTCAGGGGGGGGGGGGGGGGGGGGGGGGGGGGGGGGTCGCGAAAGTTTTGGGAGTTCGCAACAAAATTAGGGTCCGCTAGATTACTAGAACAACTTGTTTATGATTCCAATATTTTTCTTGTTTTACAACAGTGTGATTATGCCTTGACAACAATGAAATACCCATGACTTTGTTCACTGTAAATTGTTAACTGGATAACTGGAATTATATTTTAATTAAAATATTTTTTTTGATGATCTGATAAAAATTTTTAATTAGTTTTTTATTTATTTATAAAAAAGATGTAAAGATGTTTAGTATAAGAGATTAGCAGGTAATATACATCTTGCTTCCATGTTTTATCTTTTATTGCTTTTACTTGGATATTGAATAAATTTCAAAAATCGGGATGGAGGCCTAAATTTGAAAAAAAAAACAAAAGTAAATGGGGATAACAGAATATTACATTCCAATTTTGAGTCTGACAGTGTTATTCCCGGCATTCTAGAAGTCCCATAAGCATAAAAATGTTGTACCTCAGCCCCAACCATGGTGGCGCTGATGTGACCAGCACAACTCGTACAAGACGAGGAATTATCTAAATTGGTTCAATCACTGGACTGACAGAGAAGAAGACCGAATTTATAAAGCAAATCAATAAGTTTATTAAAATATCAAAGACAAGTTAGAAATTAATAACTGTTTCAAGGTCACACTTAAACTCAGTCGAATTCGAGAACCATCTTACCAAGGAATTAGGTTAAGCACATAAATGATAATAAATTAGATATAAAGAAACTTTAACAAAATCGTTAATTAAAAGTAAAGTAGTTAATAATAATAAACGCTAGGTAAACGTAAATAACGCACCAAATGCAATTAAAGTTCTACAGTAAGTATTATTATTAAAGTCTATATTATTGAGTTAATGTTAAATTACACGTTTTTGACGATAGATATTATTAAACTATTTAAAACAAAACTTTTTATTATATATATATATATATTATATATACATACATATACATATATATATACATTATAACATATATATATATACTTATATATGTATATATATAAGTCTTTAAAACTTCCTGAAAAAGAAAAATAAAAGGTCTTAACAAAGCTAAGGTTACAAGGAATTTACAAGCACAATGAACACTTCATAAAGAGTGGTAAGACCTCGGAGTTGATGACCCAGAGAAAGCTAAACGAAGAGACGCCCCTTGTAGTTTGCAGTTGCTGTAAAGGGTACTATAGCAGACTTTTTTTTTGGCACCACAAAAAAGCATGCAACAAAGATTGAATTGAAATGGCATCACTGTTACCAACCTCCCTCTTTAGACCCCTACCCAGTTTTGTCTCTGATGAATTTAAATTCCAAATTTTGAAACGATTTCGTGATGGTGAGATTGGATCTTGCTGCAGAGAAGATCCAATTATTTGCCTGTTTGGGAAAACGCTCTACACAAAAATGAAAAGAAAACAAGATAAACATGTTGAGGTACAGAAATCAGTGATGTCAGATATGAGGAAGGTTGCTACTCTATACCTTGAGTTTAAAAATTTGAAAGATGAGTATGAACTGACGGCAGATGCAGGAGAAATGTTAGTGAGAAAAAACTTCAACTATCTTCATGAAGCAGTTGATAAAGTGACCTCTTGTACAGATAAGGAAGACATGAAGGGTAGACCAAACAGCCAAATCAAAGCAGGGTTAAAGATTTCTTTGCTGTATTTGATTTAAAAAATGGCTAAAGTAGTGCAAGGATATTACCTAGTTAAACAAGAAGATGAGAAAGCAAATGAAATTGAGAAATTCGTGCGTGTACTTAACCACAACAAAGATTTTGTGTTTGGTGATGCCATCTATGCCCTAAACAAATTGAAGCAAGTCAATCTCAGGAAACCCGACCAACTTCCCCTTGAATCTGATGTGAAAATGGTTCGAGACTATACAATCACATCAATGAAAAAAATGCTTCAAAACAAGTCACTCATTTGGTCATCAAATGAGTTTGTTCGACTTCGTGATAGATGTGTATAAGAGACAGTATACGTATATATACTACTTAAAGTCATGTATCATGCATAGGAACGTTGACGCCTGCAAGGCTCTGGTTAATATTATTATATTTCATTACATAATTTTCTAAGACAGGACCATTTCTTATCTGAAATTGTATCCTGAAATATAAAAAATGAAATATAAAAAACATTATCAGTAGTAATAATAATGAAGATGATGATGATGATGATGATGTTGATGACGACAATGGCAATAATAAGCATAAGGATGACAATAACAATAACACTTTAATTATTTTTCTTTATTGTAAGTGGAAAAGTAAACCTTGTAATATGCACAAAATTGTAATTGGACTGGTGTATCTAATTAGTTTAGTTGTACACTTCTGGAAAAAAAAAACCCCAGTGGGATGTTCCCCAGCCGGTAGTGAAGTAATTCATCGTAAATATGAGGCAACCAATACTTACTCTACTATTTCCTCCAATTTCATCTTAAATGATTTTAGGATCACTTTTACCGCGCTTCATATTTTGAATAAATTAACTGAAGTAGCTGTCTACACATTGATCGCCACATGCATACTTATGTTGTTGATGTTGTTGCTGTTGCTAATACTGCTGGTGCATTGTGGTCCTGTTGGTGTTGGTTTAGCTGGGGGTGATGCTGGTGGTGAATGTGGTGGTGCCAATGCTGTTGTTGCCACTGTGCCACTGTTGTTGGTGCTGCTTCAGGTGCAGATGTAGGTGCAGCTGATGTTCTGCTGTCGTAGTTGTTTTATTTTAATTAGTACTTATCAAGCAAAACCGTTATGTCTCTATTTAGACGGACCATTCGAACTGGATGCAAGTCTAATTGTTCACTATGGTGATACACTGGAAACTGTGTAAGAATTTTCTATCTCATATATATACTGATAAAAGGTAACCATTCCAGTTTACTATAGAAGGCCGGCTGATATTCAATTTAGGTGATAATAATGATATAATATTCACGACTGTCTGCCGTGATAAAATAATATTTTTGTGTATCAGACGTATTGAGCGCAAGACATGTGTCATATTTAGAAAATAAATTCATCCAGATTCTCTTAAAATTTCAAAATTAATTGTTGTTAATGTGAGTTTACTAAATATACGTGAAAGTAAAATTATTACCTTCCCACTTCAACGTTAACCTGGTTAAAAGGTACTAATTTAACTTTTACTTTTCCAAAATAATTCAGAAACTTAGATAAACAAAAAATAATTGGAAATATGTATATAAGTATATGTATGAAAATAAAAAGATCGTCCACAATCATGTGTTTTGTCTGCAACTGTGATGTTTTGTTCACGCAGTAATGTTGCATGATAAAATTGCACCCAGCGGCATCTAAAATTTGTTTGCAAATTTAAATGTATTACAAAACTACTGATGTTACGCTGTATGAGGTCCACTAACATGCCCGGTGTACAATATCATAAAAAATGTATATGGTGGAATCTGAGCTAACTTTGGTCTTTTTGTGATCGAACAATGTATACTTTCTGTAGTCTTAGTTTGTAGTGATTTAGAGTTAGGCATTAGCGTATTAAAGATGATATTGAGTGTTGTCCCTCTTGTCCTCCTTCTATCTAACTAGATGTTTCCAACATTTGAATGTCATGGTTTCTGATGTGTCCTGCTTTTTATCACTAAGGGTTCAGAAAGTCTGCCCGAGACCCATTTAATAAACATAACTTAAAGCTAAAGTCTTGTTATTGGTCTTACAGAGAGTACAGAAATCGTGAGAAAATAAAAGCGGGGTGCCACATTCTTTGAACCAATAACCATTGGAATGTAATGTTTAAACATTGTGTTATCACAGGATATTTTTATTAAACAAACTTGATTTTATATACATTGACACCTATAATGCAATATATTGTACTTACTGACCAATAATAATATTAAGCGTAATAATAATTTCGTCACCGTTTTCACGAAGAGACACAAACTTCAATTTCGACGAAAACAACGTTTTGAGAAAAACGCGTTTGAAGTGGACTACTTCACAAATTCGTAAATGTCACTATCAAGATAACGGAATTTTGGATATTTTTTACATATGTTTAAAGATAAAGCATTAAACAATCAAAATTTTAATTAGCGTGAAAAGTTTTCTCTGTTCGTGAAAACGATCAGAATAAACACAGCATTATGTTGTTTACACGTAGAGTGAAGTTTGTGTCTCTTCGTGAAAACGGTACTGGCTGTACGCGCACCCTTTGTTAAGGCACAAACTGCATTTTAGCCATAGAGATATAATAAGAATACTAGAGCGCTAACTGCAATGTATTCGATGTTCGAAATACGCAGAGCTGTGTGTATGTACCATCCAAGATGGCTGCCATACATTCAGCCAATCAAATTTGGCCTAAGCATTATGGCGCCCTCAATTTACACAGAAAGTTTAGTACAGCTAGTTACCCGTATGTTTTAAACTCGAGCGTTGCGGTGTATGAGTGTATTGTACACGATTTTAATTTTGTTTAAATTTTTGAATAAGATGCTCTACTTGGCCTCTTTTTAGCTACGATAGTTTAATAATTTGTTATTATCAATACCAATTATCATTAATGAAATAAAAGTCTGCCAGAAGGCTTATTTATGGTAATATATGTATACCAGGCCTAAAGATGGCGCTTTTCATACGTCAACCATCTTGGATGGTACACATACACAACTTTGCATTGCTTCGCCATCTTGTCAGCACTCTAGTTGTTTAATAGTTCTATGATTTTAGCTATATGTTAACCATTGTAGTCAAGGGCGAAAACAGGCGTACAATCTCGGCTTATCCTGCTTTAATCATTATGTTTTTACGAATAATTCCACATGTGATGCACGTGTATAGACCTATCCCAAGTTATACTGCAAGAAGGGTACCGGTATGCCTAGGGAAATCTAATTTTTTACATCTAGCCCTAGCCAAGCTAGGCCTTACCTAGCGATCACAACGATTGCAACGCCGAACGCGCGTCTTTTAATAACCCAATGACAGTTTGTGTCTGTTCATGAAAACGAAAAATCCATTTTTCTCGGTTTGTGCGCAACGGCTAATTAGCTTAATTAGCTAATTAGTGTAGTTAAACTCTTAAAAATTAGATGACCAGGTGAAGTTTGATGTACATAATTAAAATGTCAAAAATATGAAAAAATATAATTTTTGAAGTTTGTGTCTCTTCATGAAAACGGTGACGATTTTATGAATCCTAAATTTATATTTCATTAATATGTGAGACTGGAATGGTGATAGGATGGTCTGGTGCCAAAGAACAACACTTTCAGACAAGCCATCTCATTGTATTGTGTTTTACAAGTTTAATTATATTAAATTGTATGATAAAGTCATTAAAATGTTTTTTTTTTTATTAGAAACATATTACATTTTATGCTTACTTTGTATGAATAGTAAAAGCTAGCTCAGATCCCACCATATAGATTTTTTTTATGATAAATAGAGATTGTTATGCTATTGTCCACCAGGCATGTTAGTTAAGTGGACTTCATACAGCGTAACAGCAGTAGTTTTGTAAAACATTTAAATTTGATTTGATTTGATTTATGAATAGTCGTTCCTAAATATAGTTTCAATTTTGTAGCAGTGGGAATTACTTGCCAATTATTGCATCTGACATTGTGACCATTGACATGTACGACAGGAATCATAGCAAAATAAGTATCAACTGTAATATCTACTTCCCAGTTATTAAGGTAAAACATGCTTGGAACTAAATTTCAAAATAATATTTACTATAAAAAAAAAGTTGTGTTATTTTTAAAATTATTATTATTAATAATAATAATAATGATGATGATGATGACAACGATGATGACAACAACATTATAATAATAATAATAATAATAATAATAATATTAATAATAATAATAATAATAATAATAATGTTGTTATTATTTCCTACATTTAATAAGAGAAAAAAATATATTAATTTTAGGCCTAATGGAGAATATGTTCATTCAAACAAGTACAGCTAGAAAATAGTGAAAAAAATATATTATTTTTATTATTATTACTATTATTATTATTATTATTATTATTAATAGTATTGTTGTTATTATTTCCTACATTTAATAGCAGAAAAAATACTAATATTGGTCCTAATGGAGCTATCTTGAATATGTTCATTCAAACAGTACAGCTAGAGAATAATGCAAAAAAATACCCATGCCCAATGTATATATTTGTATAGACATGAACTATATTCAAGTTGAATTAGCATACTTTCATATTGAATTTTGTATGACTCTTTTTACCAAAATATTTAAGGATGTAACTACAGAAAATACTTCGAACGCAAAGCTCATCCCAGCATGTCACTACAAACACGATATAAATGACTTATCTGCGTAAGTTCAACATTATTATATTTTTAAATTAATAATAAACTAAATAAACAATAATTTGTGTGATAAAATTATAGGAATGTAAATCTCATCTTTTTTTCCTAACTCATCTCATTTATTCAGTATAATAAACATACATACATACATACATGTTACCAAAGTAAATACAGAAGCTCACAACAGAGGGGACCCGTATGTCACTCCACACATAGTGGTGTATTATTGTATAAACATACTTACTCAGGGAATTGTAGTTATTTTAACATTATTTGAGGCATTATTTTGTGAGGAAATGTGTTTTTAAACTTGCAAAGTAAATTTTATTTGGTAAAAAAAAACATTATAATCTGGTTTAGTATTGTTTACTTAGCAGTTAAAAATATATTGCTTACAAAGTTATATGATAAAATTCGCATGATTAAACGTACTACTACTACTACTACTAATAATAATTTATTGGGTAACTACACGTTTGAAACAGTGGTACACTTCACATGATAAAGGTGCGTCCAAAAAAAATATAATACTTCACAATACACTAAAGAAAACATATGTACTCCTTTGACAGGTAAAAGTGTTTTTTAAACATTAAAAAAAAAAAATAAAACTAGAGGTTACATTGCAGAACCAAAAAAAAAGATGCTCTATAGTCTATTTCTCTATGACAGAAAGTACAAAGTTGACTGTCTGTTTTACCTATTAAATAAAGTAGTCGGGTGGTACCCAATATATGGTGAATAAATCTAAATTGAAAATATTGTTTTTTAATCGAAGCTCGACCACGCCCGCTTTGCTTTCGTCGGAGAAATCTGACCCTTCGTCGGGGCCGTCGGCCCCCGTCCAGGACCTCGGCCCCCCCCCTCCCGTCTGGGACCTCGGGACTGAGAGAACAACCCTGCCTAACTCCTCTTTCAATATGGAAAACCCTGTTGAGTGACCGTTATTTAATAATGCAAGCTGTACACCATAGAGGTATTAACCCGGTACAAAAGCTGTTCCCAAAGTTAAAATATTTTAAAGTGAAGTGAATAAACTCTCAGTAAACACGGTCGAACGCCTTTTCAAGATCTACGAAGAAAAGGAGGCTAGGGATATTTTGTTTTTCTGTGTACTCGATAGTATTATTTTCTCCTATAAAACACCTCTTAATGAAGTTTGATAGTCCCCTATGATATATGACCGATTTGCTATTAAATTAACGCAAATTTTATAGTCCGGTCAACAAGCTAATCGGTGTATAGTTATTAAGGCGGTCGGGGTTCTTTTCAGGCTTAAGAATTAAAGAAATAATCCTCTGCATTGTTCAGGGGCTAGATAGTGGCGCTGGTGTGAATAGCTAAATGAATCTACAACAAACTGACCTAATGTAGGCCATAAATACTTACAGAAGTTCGTTGAAATGGCATCAGAACCAGAGAATTCCCCATTCAGCATAGAAAACAAAGTCTGTTGGTATTCATCAAATACTAAAATCAATCCCATCACTGTCGCAATCGGGGAGAGTCGAAATAAAATTAAGTAGATTGCAGTTAATGGAGCGAGAATAAAGGGATTTGTAAAAAACTGTTTTTAATCTAAAAAATATTATTTAATTCGGTTTCTTTTTTCAAGATTTAAGAAGTACTTGGAACTCTTTTCCCCTCCTTGACCCATCTAGCTCTAGAGCGAACTGCTACCCTGAAAATTTGTTATGATAAAGGGTATTAAACCTGCTACGCGCCTCCCTGAGTCTCCGGCTGAACTCTGCAGAGTTGTTATTATATGAAAGCTGCTATAAAATGGAAATGTCGGGCAGTAAATCCATTTCGTTCTTACGTGTAATTTTTGCCCTATTAACATAAAATGTTATCGTTTCACTGGATACTAACTTTAATTCCTTCCCACTTGGATAAAGGATCCAATCCTTGCATTTTTGCTGATGTTAAGGTTATGAATTAGTTTATATTCTTCATCGTTAACAGGGAGTTGTTATACTTCCAGTATCCACGGCCCCTGGGTTCTTCGTGCGTACGAATACTAAATGTCACAATAGAGTGATCAGATTGAAGAGGATGTTGGACGTTATTGTTAAGAATATTATCTGCAGAAGTGCGAGACACTAGTAAAAAAAAATTCTAACCGATTGTGGATATCCGCAGAGCATGAATGCCACGTAGCGCTTTTAACTAAAGGATTTCTTTCTCTCCAAATATCAACTAAATTATATAATGACATCGGAGAAAGACATTCTTCAATGAATGTAATGTTTGTTCTAGGGTCGCCTCCTTGTTTATCAAGTTCCAAGTTGAACACAAAATTGAAATCACCACCCATATAATTGTACTACAGTCAAAGTCCACAATGCAGCGTGACATATCTCTATAGAAGTTAGGATTCTCTATATTACAGAGAATCCAACTTTATATGTAACAACCCCTCCCGCTTCCCCTTTTCCTTGAAATTTCTTTAATGTTTTTCTTAATTTTTAATTATTAATTTGCAATTAATATTATTAATGTGATGTGAATATTAATAAATAATTTATACAGTTATTTTTATAGGTATCCGTATATATTTATTTGAAAATGTTATATTATAATTCAGAAAAAGTGGTCCGGCCAACTGGTGCGGTTCCGTCGGCCCTGATTATACATCGCATTTATAATTTAGAGCCAAAAATTGCCCCATCGTCTCTGGAAGCCACAGGGCCCCCGGCGTTACCCCACTCGCTGGAAGGTAGCAGGTACAGTAGTTCAATGTCACAATAAAACATTGCTTTATTAGATTTTCTAGGTTCAATGGACATGTTGTACCAGTGGTAGTTACGATTCTGATATTGTTTCTCCTCGAGAATCTCTTGTTTGTGTATGAGGGACGCGTGTCTGATGTTCACCTCCTCAAGTGATATAACTTTAGCTTCCAGAGTATCACACTTGGCTTTTAAGGTGTCATTCTCGACAGTGGGCTCAGACACAGTGAGGCTTAAATCTTCTATTGAATCGTTGATATTCCTTTGAAGCGTAGAAATTTCCTTAGGTTGCGTATTGCATACTAACTTATTTATACTCACGTTCACTTCTTTAAAGGACATCTTGGTCGCGGCCACTCAGTCGGTATCTGAGTCATCCTCTGCCTGTAGATAACATGTTATTGTGGAGCCAGTGTTGCCTAGGACTGACTGTGTAGCTGGCTCGGATCGATTTTTGGATCCTTTCGGTCGTCCTTTTGGTTTTTGCGTCAGGTTTTGTAGCCATGCTAATGCTGAACTTTGAATAATATATCTTAAATTTTTTAAAACTTAAAATAAACTGGCTTCTGCAGGAATTTTAAGTACATTTAGGCCTATCTAGAGGTCACCAAAACCCGGCCGTAAATCTCATCCACCATGTCATTAAAAATACGATTTTTATGAATCAGCGTAAGTTGATTTTTTTTGCAAACAATACAATTGAATGATAATAAATTGAATCAGAAATTATAATTATAAAAAGAATATGTAAATAAGTGTTATATATCATTTTATGACGGTGATAATTTGTATGAAATATTTATGATCATTAATTGGAAAGTGTTCTCTTCTGTCTTATCTCGCCTGAACAACAATAATTATACACCTGTTGGCTTTGTTAATGACGTGACAGCAAATGCAGTCTAAAAAGTATAGAATATATAAATATAATTACACATTTTTATGTTTTTATTGAATCGATATTTTGCACCACCACTTATTTTCAAGCTTGTGGAAAACGGATGGTTGCGTTACAAACTATGCCAACGACTATATGATTAGCGGAGTGACGTGTATATGCACTCATATGACGTCATATGTAATTCTGATGAAACCCGAGCAGGTGAGAATGAATGGAAATCTTGTTTTAATGAAACCTTAAAAAATGTACAAGTACATATGCATGAGGTAAGGTTGTGAGGTTCTACATTGTGCTCTTTGTCTAGGACGGGCACTCATTACCTCGAACTCTGTTTCCTGTCAGGGATAGACGACACGACGCTGCCTACTGATTATCGGTGGTACTTTGAACGGATCGTCATTAATAGCGATCCGTTGCGCGCGTCGTGGCATTGCATTCCTTATAGAATCGCATCGGCCTACGGCCGCTGGGCACAGTGAGTCCCCGGCTTTAGGCTCAGTAAGCTGATTCTATACATCGAGCGGTAAGACAGGGGCACCGCTAGCTACAGCCTTAACACCGGCGCTAGTTCCAGCCACTCCTCCCCCATGGTTCAGTTGGTAGAACCAAGTCTTCTCGGATAAGGATAATGGAGGTCCAGTGTATACATCTGGCTCGTGTGCACTTTGAAAGAACCCATTGCATCTTTTGGAAGAGTAGGGGGTTACCCCAATGTTATGGTTCATTTCAGCCCCGGTCGTTGTTGAATGATGTGAACATGTATCTACCAAGAAGCGCCTCTTTACGGCTGCTAGGTAGTCACGGACCACACCCATACGCAATTCAGCACAATGACGCTGCAAGTTATGGGTTATTCTCCTACCTTTACATTTACATTAGTTTTTATATTTCACAGATAAATAACAGGACTTTGTCTGTGCTTACGACCGTTGGGGTTTCCATTTCTAATGTGTTTCTCATCATCACTCTTGTTATCTGTTGCTTCAAGTAAGTTGACAAACTAATAATAAAATATAATTATAAAGTAAATAATAACGATACAAATGATAACCATGTTGATTAAAACAAAAGGTTGCTTTTGTAAAGGCAGTTTTATAATCCCAATAGGGCAGTTTTTTTTTCTTGAATTTCCTATGATAGAAATGTCTAAAAGAGGCTTGCATTACACTACAAACACCGGTGTATTAATTCTTTTTAGGGATTTAAGGAACTCGGACCGGTACAGGATTTTGCGCCATTTGGTCATCGCTCTACTATTTGCCAATATGTTCTTTTTGTTGCTTGAAGTCGATGTAAAAAACGTAGTACGTTTAATTTATATTACTTGTAAGACAATATGGTTAACACTACTACTACCACAACTATTACCAATGCCACAACGTCACCAATTCCACAACCATCGTTCACCAAAAACTGTCTACTGTACGTTTCATTTGTGTTACCTAAATGGACATTTACTCTTCGACTAATTTGAAGTTGATAAACATTTTGAGATCACTAAATCGCAGCATATTTAATATTTTCCATATCAACCTTCTTAAAAATTACAAGAAAAAAAACAAACAAAAAACAACCAAATTCTAAGAGAACCCTGATGTGCTTTCTTTACAGATCGCATGCAGTATTCTTGCTGGTTGCTTGCACTACAGTATGTTGGCAGCTTTTTCGTGGATGTTGATAATGTCAACAGATATATACATGAAGATCAAACATCCGTTTGCTGATCATGAGAGGCGCTTCTCGTACAGTCGATACATTGGTTGGATTGGACCCGCCACTGTCGTCGGGACGACAGTTTGTTTAACAAGACAAAACTACGCCTCTGATAAGTAAATCTGAATTTCACATTATTATTAATTTTAATGTCATAAATGTCATACTTTTATTTTTGTTAGGAACGCCGAGTGTTTTAATAATAGAATTCCTTCCTAAATATCTTATACGTGCTAGTGTACAATTTACAGGTTGGTTATAACTTAATAGTAAAATATTTTGGAGATTCATATTCATCACATAATCTGGGATCTTTAATACAAGAAGAAGTAACATTTCCTAACACAATGAGAATAACATTAACAATAGTAAAACAATTATAACTATAACAACAACAATGTCGATGATGACGATGAAGATAAGCATAATTAATACACAAATCATTTCCATCCAAATCATTTGCACCATACTATATAATTTATTATCCCTATCCAAGTTCTTTTTGGAGCATATTTACAATTTTTAGTTTATAAATTCTAGGTGCTGGTTGGAGAGTGGACAGGGTGCTATATGGGCGTTCGTTTCTCCTATGTGCATCACCATTCTGGTAATTAGTATTTTCTTTTATACTACCAACAAGACGAAATTTAATTAAAATACATATTTTCCCTTACATTTGAAAGTTATTGCAACAAATAAAATTTGCCTATATTATGTGATTACACATATATTACATAATATTATGTTCATAGATTGTCCTCGTGCAGTTGGTGGTTATTGGCTATATAGCTTTCAAGAAATCTCAACTACCAAACCAAACAGGACAAGAAATGGAAAACCTGAAACGAATCAGGTGAGACAAAAGTGTTTTTATTAGATTTTTTTTTCTAATTATCCATCTAATAGACCTAATTTAATCTTTCGTTAATTTTAACTATCCATCTTTGACCATAAAACAACAGTAAGTGTTAACTTATAAAGCGCATAATTTAAAATAACTCTATGTGCTTTACAGCAGGGAGTTTGATAAATTATTTCGCCTAGAATAAAAAAAAAAAACAAATAACAATAAGTTTAAAAAATGAATATCATCTATATCAATTTATTAACTGGATTTATTTGAAGTTATGAATATTTTTAAAATACAGTAATTTTTATTTTCTTTGATTTACTGAATTAATTGTTAAACATTTCTTTTTTTGTTCTTATTACCTTACTTTATCTCTTATCTTGTCTTTGATTCCTTTTTCTTTTCTTTTATTGCTACCCCCTGTCAATCTTTTAGATTACTTCCCCCTGTAATTGTTTTCTTTATATTTCTTCTTTTTTTTCCTTCATTTCTCTTTCTATATCATTTCCTTTTCTTCTCCTTCTGTATCTTTTTATTTCTTACCTTTCCTTTCATTTCTATTCATTACACTTTTCCTTTTCTTTTACTTTCCTGTATTTTTACTTCCTTTTCATTTTCCTTCCTACCTCAATTTCTTTTTTTTTCTCCTTTTTTTTTATTCATTTTCTTTTCAAATTCATTTTTTCTTTACAGATTCGTTTCCTTTTTTAATCCCTTTACTTTTTCGTTTTCCTATTTTCTTTTCCATTTTTTTATTTTTTGTTCTCCGCTTTTTTTTTAATACCTTATATATTTTTAGATCTTATTTTTCTCTTTCATGTCCTTCATTTTCCTTTTTTTCTTTCTTTTTTTCATTTCGTTTTATTTACATTTCCCTTCGTTTCCTTCCTTGTGTTACCTTTTTTCCCTTTTATTCTAATTACTTGTTTTTCTTTACCTTTCCTTTGCTATCAATTTTCCTTCCCCTTTCTTATTCATTTATTCACCTTTCTATTTCCTTTTTCTTTTATTCATGTTTTTCCTTTCCTTAGTTTCCCTTTCCTGTTACTTTTCTCTCGTTTGTTTCTGATTCTTACATTTCTTGACCTTTGATTATATTTTACATTCAATCTTTGATTATTGTAATATAATTTTTATTTCCATTCACAAATATGTTCCTTTTATTTCGTGTTGCAAAATATACGACATATAATTAAACGTATGTCGAGGTACTTATCAATAGTACTGTATTGATGCAGTTGAGTATCAACACGCCTCTATATGGTTTTGAGAATCATTTTCAGTTGCATTATGCAGGGGCGGATCTATTTGTTTCTACTGGGGGTTCGAAACTTTAATCATCGAGCGACCTATGGTTGGAGGGGAAAAGTTTGGAGGATGCTATAATAGCATAATTAAAAATAAATGTTTGTGTTTAAATTTTACATTTAATTTTATGACAGGTTAAATAAAAATCACTATGAAAAGCTTTTTAAAATATGAATGTTTTGTGAGCTCGTTAAAAACATATACTATTTTTTTTTTGTATAAGAACTGTGTTTATTTTTTTTGTATAAGAACTGTGTTTAGTGGTATACTGCTCCTAACACCAACCGTTGGAATTCCGTGGATTTTCGGTGTCATCCTCGTCTTTTGTGATTGGGAAGTGTTGAAATACATATATGTTATTTTTAACTCCATGCAAGGATTCTTTATCTGGCTGTCACAGTGCGTTTTCAGTAAAGAGGTAATAAAGTGTTGCTATTTTTTTTAATTTCTGAAAAATATTGTAATATTAAGACAGCGGTAATCAATGTTTACTCTATCACTTCTATTTTCAGGTGCGAGAGGCACTGCTTAAGAAGTTCAGCAATCAAATAAGTCAAGAAAGTACCACAATGGAGCTCTGTAACAACTCCAATTAGTCAGGCTTTTGAATATCACATGATGATGGATAAATTTGATACAATGGTTGCTTAACCACATTCACATCATCAGGAAAATCAATACAATATCAGCAGTAACCGTGTTATGTTAAGTCGAGTGATAAATATATCAAAGTAATTGTATTTTATAGTGAAATACATACTACCGTATAGTTATACTTTGAACATTGAACTGGTGTATAATTAAGTAGCATGTTCTTTATATATTGATCTTACAATACATCTTTTAAATTTCCGTAAAAACAATCTCGTTACTGAGATATTCTTTTTAAAAAAATGTAATTTATTGTTGAAAGGTTACGAATAATGTGTGTATAAATAGAGAATTACCCGTAGGCTTTCACACTACATTTAATGTTAAAGTCAGGCTCCGGAGAAAAAACAAATTTGATTCAAAACAGAGCAATCTGTATCTCCTTCACCGTTCCCCAGTTTTTCGTCAAAAAACTTTTTTCTGTCTTAGAAAAATCAATTCTACAACATATCAACATTTTTTTTCCTCCGGAGTTTGACTTTAAGGTTTCAGATGTTATTATTGTTGAAGAAAGAAAAATCAGTTCTACAACATATCAACATTTTTTTTTCCTCCGGAGTCTGACTTTAAGGTTTCAGATGTTATTATTGTTGAAGGAAGAACAATCAGTTCTACAACATATCAACATCTTTTTTTCCTCCGGAGTCTGACTTTAAGGTTTCAGATGTTATTATTGTTGAAGGAAATGCGCAAGCTAGGCCCATGCATTTAAATGTTCAGATGTCATAGGTTCTTTATGAAAAACACTCATCTAATTGTTAAATTTTCAGAATTCAGTATTGAATTTTAGGAGAGAGAGAGACATGGGCATTTATCTTGGCACTGTACTGCCTAAAGTTTGTTTTGATTGCATTTATTGTTTTATGGAAATTTATAATTATTTGACTGACAGATTATGCCTACTGTTATTATTGTCGAAGGAGATATGCAAAACTATCATAACGTTAAGGACCTAGTTACCTTGTTTGATACCATACGTTGTTTAAGGATAATACAGCCTTCACCTACTCAAAGGCCTCTTATCTGTTTAGAATTTTAATGAAAAAATTGATGTAATTATTTTAAGAAATTGTATAACAACAATGTTGATAGTTAGGATATCATTCACACTTTTTAAGGAAACATACATTAACTTTTGCGTAGCTTGTAAGTATTCTTTACGATTGTACTTCTCCTCACAATTAAGGAAAAAGCAACGATACTGTCTGTGTGTGAGTGCTTGAAGACGTGACGCCTTCTTCTGATTTAGTTGCATTTTAAATCATATAGACTCACAGAGTTCAAACGAAAAAAGATAGGGTATATTGTCAGATTTAGAAAGTGAAATAGCATCACTGACTAGAAAATAGAGCTATGGCTGAAGACACGGTGTCATCTAGGCCCACTAGCAATACACGTCAAAGTTCACAGCTCTCTAATCTTCACACATTGTTTCTTGAAGATTATGTGAATTGCTAAAGAATGTGAATTTGTTAAAGAAAAATGTGCTTTAAGTCCGAAAGGTTTAAACGGTTACAAAGAATGTTTTCTATATAAAGAATTACATGTAGGTTCTTACACTACGTTTAATGTTAAGGTTTCAGAGGTTATTATTGTTGAAGGAAATGCTCATCTAGTTAAATGTTCAGATTTATGGGAAAGACTCTAGCAGGCCCGTAGGCAGGATTTTCGATGGGGAGGTGCGTTTTTGCGACCAAAGCGGACCTTAGCATAGGCGACCACCTAGTGATCCCCTCGGGGGAATCCTCCGACAAATTAGCATATTGAGTACGGTACCTTATAATGGATTTCTGAAACCTACAATTTGTAATATTCTATATAAATTTTTATTCATTTGGGTATTGTTTAGGGGCATAAAGCAGGAGAAATAGAGGGTGGTGTCCAGGGCCGGCAGGAACTTTCACAGACGGACGGTCAATACCACTTCAGCCCCACCATTGTTGGGGCTGAGGTAAGAACGTTTATGATTATGGCACCTCTAGATGGTCGGAAATGGCACTGTCAAACAAAATTTAATTATGATTTTTCTTTTTTCTCCATTTATTTTATAATTTTAGGGAGCTCTCCCCCACCCCCTTATCCGCCACTGTGAAGTTGTAACTTTTTATGTCCTTTGCATCTGTAGGTCTACAGATGACATGGATCAATTTGCAATCACTAGAGCTGATAATTTCTAACAGATTTCGTAGCACATTATTAAAAATCAACGGTTAGAAGAGCAGGTAAAAAATTAAAAAGTGGATTTTTAAAATTTAGTGGTCCAGTGGCAGAGACCTGATTGGGGTTTTTGAGAAAAGCCCCAGGAGGCTCCGACTAAGTAACATTTTGAGGGTCTTATATGATGGATTTCTGAAACACATAATTCGTGAATATTTTATTTAAATTTTCATTAATTTGGGTGTTTTTTTTGGGGGGGGGGGGCCTGAAGACGTAGCGTTATTATGTCCTGTACATCTGCAGGCTTACAGATAACATTGTTCATACTGTATTATAGATCAATCTGCATTCACCGGAGACGATAAATTTCCAACAAATTTCATATATTTAAAATCAACGGCTGGATGTGCTGGCAAATATAAATGCTTGCTATAGCATTTTTGTGATAATTAAGAATGATTTTGTGAAATAATAGTTTTAAAAAGTGGACCTTTTGAAATTTAGGGAAAGGGGTGCGTCTGCACCCTCTGCTCCCCCTGCCTACGGGCCTGTCTAGGAAAGGGACGTGGGCATTTATCTAGGTACTGCCTTTTAAAGTTTTTTTCTTTTTTTGGATTGCATTAATTGTTTTATGGAAATTTTTAATAACAATTTGACTAATTGTGCCTACTGTTACAGGTGGTATTATTGCCGGGATATGTTACTTATGCTAAGGACCTAGTTAAATTGTTTGATGCCATACGTTGGTCAAGGATAAGACAGCCTTCATCTAGGCCTATTATAAGTTTAGAATTTTAAGGAAAATAATGTATTTGTTTTGTGTAATTGTATAACAACGATTTTGATAGTTATGATGTCATTCGCACTCTTTAAGAAAACATGCATTAACTGTTTTTGCGTAGCTTGCATGTATTCATATCATGACCATTTTGCATTACATAGGCCTATATCCTCATAATTACGACGAGAGTAACAATATTGTCTGTGTTTGAGTGCTTAAAGAGGTGACGCCTTCTGCTGATTCAATTGCATGCTAAATCATATATAATTGTAGTGTAAATCAATTTATGATAACTATTAGACTAATTATGCCTACTGTTACAGGTGTTATTATTGCCAGAGGGAATATGCAAAACTATATTTATGTTAGGAGCCTGGTTAAATTGTTAGATGCCAAATCAACAACTGAGACATAAGGTTGCAGACTGTCCACAACCATTGGATTGTGTAAACACCAAGGATAGCCCACAAAAGTCTAGAAGAAGACTTATTTCCAGTTGGGTCTTTCTGGTGGTGACTGGGCAGTAAACCAGAAGACAATCCCTTACTCTTTTTCGAAGAGTGTACTGCGTTCTTTCACATGAGCCATAAATGCATACGGGACCAACGGCTTAAACATCTCATCCGAAAGACGGTGCGCTAATGTAACTTGTATTGCAGCCCTCTAGCTGAAACACAAGGAGAGGCAGCAATGAGGATTGAACCAGGGACCTAGAGATCTTTGCGGTTCTGCGTACACACAGTGGTTACCACCAGATTAGCCGACTGAGCTAAGCTACTCTCTTAAAACCACCAACGGTAAGAGCAGAGACGGTTGCAGACTCTCCACGCTCCCTAAAGTTAAGGGAATAGCCAAGACCATATCAGCCAAAGGGAGGTTAGTAATAAGGTGAATTGGATTAATAATACAGAAGAAGTAATCGCTTTGTTAGATGCTGGTGCATCCATATCATTGATAACTGACTAGTTATGTCTTATGTCTCACACTATACATGTAAGTCAAGTAAAGCACTGTTTGATGGTACAAAGTTTACGACCTCTTGTCTAGTGTCAATTAATTACGAAGTACCGTATTTGGCAAAGAAACTTCTCTAGAAATGTGTGTAGTGAAGATACAACCATTACATCTTTTTCTTGGCCAAGACTTAGCCAAAAACCAACCTAGTAGTAAAGGTGGGGGGGGGGGGGGGAGGGGGGGGGGTGGTGCCCCCCCCCCCCCGTCGGGGAGAAAAATCTCAATTCGTCGGGGAGAAAAAAAATTATATATATAGTCTACATATTAGTAGACTCTAAAATAAATAAAGCCTTTGACAGATCAATTATTATTATAAAAATATGTATGCTAAAAAGCTAAAATACTGGAAAATGGCAACCGTTTTAAATTTTAATAGCTCAAAAATGTGTACAATATTTAGTTAAATGTTGTTGTCGTTGTTATGAGTGGATTTCCAATTGAATACTGCATTTTAATAATAATAACGTGAGAAAGTGAATGTGGGTTGCCGGGCCCTTTGATACCCACATTCAACTATAAAATATTCTGAATTAGATAGTATAATACATACTCCAAGTATCGAAATGCACGCCATCGTGTCAGGATTCAATATTTCGACAATAATTATGACATCATCAGGAATGAAAAATATCCATATTTGCAAGCTTATACCAAAAGTGTTTAACCAATCAAAAAATTACCTCTAGTGACATAGCTATGAATAAACTAAAGATCAAGCATTCTTACCCTGCTGATCAATATCCTGAATTAATATTCAAATTAATTAATTTTCCTGATTTAAATTTTTAATTAATTATTCAAAAATATGAGAGTTGCATGTCATCAGTAAGTCATGAATCAGATCAGGTAAAAAGGAGGAAGAAGCTCACCACAGATTGGTTTACAAACCATTTAAAGCACAGGTGGCCAAAGTGCAGCCCGACAGTATTTTTTTTCTGGCTGCAAAAGAAAAGTTAAATCAGATTTACGGGTTAAAGAATCAATATTGGATATTGAATAGGGCCAAGCAGAGAGCCTTGATTTGCGAGAGGTTCGAGCCCGCCAACTGAAAATCTCTTCTTTAAAATAATAATGAGGAGATGTGAATAAATTCAAACCAGGGAACACCTCCCACGCGTAAGGACTTTGCGGTTACTACTTATGTTATTGGTACTCTCTGAAGCAGGTGAGTCATTCAGCGAGGCATGCAATTCATGCGAGCCATGACGGTAATTAATGCGGGACGTGTACCAATAGTGCGAGGCACAATACAGTACACACTTGTACAATTTATAAAACAAATACAATAATAAACTATTTTTAACATAATTATTATGAAATTAAGAAGACAATTTCCAGCTATCCAGGAGTGACTTCAA